CAGGCCCACGGCCCGCACGCTGCACCGGGTCAGCTCCATGCGTCCGCCACTCGGAGACCCTGGGACGCGGGCACAACAGTTGTTCGGTTGCTAGAGCGACAGGTGAAGTCACCAACTTCAGTTCCAAGAAACACACTGTAAATGGCAAAGGGCAACCAGAAGCCGGGCCCACTTGGAAATGCTGACACGGCCGCCGAGAGCTGGGCAGGAAAACAGGGGGGACGCCAGGCCCACGGGGGGACTCGCGGGCCAGGCAGACCAGCGCCAAGTCCTGTGTCCACTCAAAAGCTCTCGGACAGACGTTTTGAAGGCCTAGCCTTGTACCACTTTAAGAACGGGGTGGAGGGCACTCTGGTTATTTTGAGAGCGTTGGAGGAAAGCTGCCTCTGAGCCACGGTGCCCGGTGAGAAATGCCAGCCTCCTGAATCACGGGCTATTAGCGATGCTTCACACAGCCCCACGGGCTGCGGCCTCTCTCAGGAGGCAGGAAAACAAGCAAACAAGTGCGGGAAAACCAGGCCCCGGCCTCATTAAGGCAGCCAGACAAACCCAGAGGGCAGAAGGGAGCGCTAATGTGGCCTCTGGCTGGGCTCCAGGCCCTGATAGACCCCACAGGCCTCACCGGGCAGCAGGCTCCCAGCTGGGCCAGATCATCCTGATGCAATCTCAGGGCACAGCCCCTGCCACCCCGCACCACGGGCACGAGGCCGCCGCCCTGCACACCCACCAGAAGCGTGGACCAGCGTCAGGGACGGTGGAGAGCCAGAGGATGTCTCCAGAAGCAGCGCCAGCGGGGAAGCCTGCCTGGTCCTGGGTTGAGGGAGGGTTTATGTGGTGCTTCCTGGCAAAACACAGGTGGGGGGCTGTGGGAGGAAAAGGGGAAGGGGCTAGGAGAGGGTGGGGGAACACCTGTCACTCTAGACTGGAAGGGGAAGGGAGGAGAGATGGGCAGAATTCCATTCACAGGACCAGCATCACCACTGGAACTGGAAAGGGTCTGTCCCAACCACTGGCCCGTGAGAGACAAGAAGGAGATGCGGGTGCCATGAGGCTCCAGTCACTCCCTCATGCTCAGGATGCAACCACCTACGGAAAGCCCAATGGTCAATTCCAGAGACTGGAGAAAAAAAAAAAACCCCATTGACAGAAAGAACAAGATTGCTGATAAAGCAGAGAGAGGAATCACAGGGGGTGGTTAACAGAGAAACCTCCAGAATCAGGTGGTCTGGATTCAAATCCTGGACCTGCTACTTCCTAGTCCTACGCCCCTGGGTGAGCTGCTCAAGCCCTCTGTGGCTCAGTTTCCCCATTTCTGAAACAGAGAGCACCCACAGGTTGGCAGCAGGAATGGATACCGTGACTGGGAAGTTCTGGCAACAAAGGCTGCTGAGAACATGTGCTCAGTAAATGTCAGTCATCATCTTCATCACCATCTTCATCCTTATCGTCGACATCACCTCCTACTGACCTCAGAAGAACGTTGATTTTCCATTAACTAAAGGAGTTCATGAAAGGAAGAGATTCTGGATTAACTAAAAGCATGGTTAACTGAGGGTTAATTCCTTTATGTAGTCATATGGGGAAGGCTAGCAACCAAGGGTATCCGTTGATCCTAATTACCAATCCTTAAAACTACAAGATTTTATTAACTTCAAATATTTCACCCAATAACCAGATAAGTCTCAGCGTTAACACATTTTATAAGTTTTCCAAAAAGTAGGACTCAAGAAAAACAAAGTGTTGTTTCTCCAAGACCTTGAGAATTTCCCAAGAAATGTTTTCCTTTGAACAGACACATTAAAAGGCACCGGTGGTCTAAAAAATAATGGAGCAACCAGAAATATCACTAAAATGATGAAATTACCAATGTCGGGAGTTATCTGTGTTGCTTCATGAGCAGTCTAAACCCAGAGACTGAATGTTCTCAGTTAAAACCCACTGCCATCAGGAGGAAACAGGTGCCCTGCATGTCCCCCGCCCACACAGACATGCAAAGAGCCTCGCCTTTTAAAAGGGCTTTGCCTTACGGTCCCCAGGTGGGAAGTTTCTGCAGTACACTTTCATATTCAGCCAAGCAAGACTACACTTTCAGGTTTTTTTGTTTTTATTTTTTGAGAGACGCTTCGAGGCTGCTTTTCATTTTGCCAGGCGAAACTGAGAACAAACGTTACGGCCTCCACCCGCCCAACCCCGCAAAAAACGTAACAAAGCCGCTTTTAAACTCTTAATGGAGACCATCCGTCCCCCAGGCCAGAAATCCAAAGTGGGCTTCTCCTTACCGTCAGTTTTGTGGTTTCTGGACTCAGTTTATTCCTCCGTATCCTATATTTTTGCATTTTTTTTTGTTTCAATTGTGAGTATCTTTTTTTTTTCTATTTTATTTTCTAACAGCTTGCTCTCCTGATGATTGGGTTCTGTTCTTTTTTTGGGAGGGGGCAGGGGGCTATTTATTTTCTGACCGTGCTTTTACAAGTTCTCAGTCAACAGCTTTGGGCCAGATCTTTATGTCAGCAGTGGAGGGGTTCGGGACACTGCCAGTCACTGTCTTCAGGTCACCAACTAAGTCTGAAAAAGCACCTGCCTTGTGGAGAGGGCTCAGCGTAGGGTGGTCCAGTCTGCAAGCTCCAGTGCTGGGCAGGACCCATCTCCCAGAGCCGTCCTGCTTCCAGCCCCTCCCTCCCTCCCTGCCCCACTCTCCCCAAACACACATACCGCTCCCACTCCAGGCTCAGACCCTCTACATCCACCGGCCAGCGGCCGCCTCCCCGCCCCCTGGTGCTGGCCCTGGGACCGCCCCCTGCGGCCTCTGCCTCCTGGCAATCTGGGCCCCCGCTGTCTGCCTCCTTCCCGGGCCCTGCTCACTCACCCTGCACTCTCCTTTCCCCACTTATTTTTTAATCCTGCCTTGTGCACCTGGAGCTCCTTCCCGACACCTTTCTGCTGGTCCAGTTCCTACCCACCCCCCAACTTTCCCCGCCCCTCCAAGGCCCAACTGAAATTCCACATCCCTTGAAAATCTCTCCTAATCACCTCTGCCTAGAAGCTCTCCGTTCCTTCTCAGAACCATCTTCAGCTGATCCTGTCAGCTGACAGTAAACCATGTATTTTCTTGGAACATGCGTTCTATTATTTTAACATCTTGCTTGACTTTTCACCTAAGCACACTGTGTCCCTCCCTCCGCCCGTGATACCCTCTACTTCTCCCTCCCCCTCTCCTACATCTGTTCCAATCTCTGCCATCCCTCAAGATCCAGATCAATCTCACCTCCCTCTAGAAGCCTCCCCTGATTCTCACAACTCTTCTGATTTCAGCAACCTTGCACTTGTGTGTCTTTTGGGACAGAACTTGTTCCCTGTATAGGAGGCTCCCTAGGTCCACGCAGCCTTATCCACAGCATGTGGTCCTCAGCACGTGGCCACACCTCTAAGTCAGCATCACCCACTGTGTGCCAACCATTGTGGAGCAACCTGAGAGCACAGCCTTCAGCTCACAAAACATGGCTTCACGGATGTGGCTCTTACCCATCCATCACACGTGGCCTCCATCACAGGCCCCCAAATCCCAGCTGCCCAGGGACGCCCAAATGCTCGGCACCGCCACAGACGCCGTGCTAGCTTGGTTGGCAAGTCCTCACCCAGGCTGCCCTCTCTGCCTGGGAAAACCTTCCCACATGGTCTCCTCCTGGACTCCCTTCCTGCAAGATTCAGCACTGCCTCCTCCAGGAACCCTGCACAACACACTCCCTCCACTCCCCCATAGCACCCAGCACCTCACTGAGCCTGCCCATCTTTGCAAGGCTGCTGTGAGACAGCGTTAGAGCTTTCTGGATGACCAGGCTGCTCTGCAAAACAGCAGTGAGCACTCAAACCACCTGGGATCTTGTGACGAGGCAACTCTGATTAGGAGGTTTGGGGTGGGCCCGAGATTTCTCAAGCTTGACATGACTTGTAATGTTGACACTATGGTCTACAGGTCCCTCATAAGCAAGGCCCTGGACCAGTGCTTCTCTGCCCTGGATACACCTGACAATCATCCTCAGAGCTCTAACTCCACAACTGGACCCACCCTGCGCTAATCAAGTCCAGGTATCTAGGACTGTGCCCAGGGGCTGACACTTCATCAGGTTCTCTGGATGATGCTCACATGCAGGTGTGGCTGGGAACCATGCCCCATCCTGTTTCTGAGCCTCTCTTCTCATCACCCAGTGCCTCAAGTAACAAACACCTGCACCCCAGGAAAAACCTCGCAGTTACAAATCAGGCAGATAAGCCTCTCCAGCCCCACGTGACTCCACTGGTGACAGGCAGACGCCTTCTCCCACACTCTCCCTTCCTCTCGGCATCCTCGGCCGCAGCCCAGCCCCATGGCTCCTGCCAATCATCACCTGCAATGTGGCAGCAAAGGGCTCGTGGTCACATTCACCTGCCAGGCCAGGCACCAGGGCCTTCCAGCTGCCAACTAGGTGTGGTGAAATTCTCCAGTCTTAGACTCTGCATTTGCTTTTTTTAAATTTTATTATGTTACTAAATTATATATTTACTTATCCACTAGATACCTGTATCTATAAATTATGAGTTATGCTCTGTTATTATTACTTTAACATTTCTTCTTCACCAGGAAGGTTAGCAGAAAGGGCCAGATATCTGGGTTCGGAAGTGGTGACGACACTTGAGGGCTGGCCTCAGCACAGCCGACAAAGTCTTGCTATACTGGAAAGTGCTTTCAACTTTCAGGAACCACGGCCCTTCTCCCGTGTGTGAGAGTGTGGTCAGGAGCTGGCTGTCAGCTAAGCATGCCAGGGGCTTGGCCGCTGCAGGGCACACCTGGGGCTGAGCCGCGTGATCCCGGCCACAAGGGGGGAGCCACACCCACCATGGTGGCAGCCACTGCAGCCCTGGAACAGCGTCCCCACCGGGGTGACTGTCTCTGCCGCCCTTGGAGAGACAGGGTGTGGGAGGAAGGTCAACATCCCAGAGATGATGGGTCGAGGTCAGTAAAATCACATGGGCACATGTGAAGAGGAATTTTCATCCCTGGCCTCGGAATTTGGGCAGCAGCACAAAGTACTGAAAGAGTCACAGAGAACCACAAGGACACTTACCAGTGATAAAAATGCTAGGCTTTTGGCTTGTCCAAAGAAATGGGTTATTTCAACCGCCTGTATGTCTTGTAGGCCTATGGGCATCTCTCAGACCAAACCCTGAGCACTGGGGGGTGGGAGGGGAGGAGTGTCCTGCCGCAGCTCTAACCACGGAGGCTGGGATCTGCGGCTGGCAGGGTTGGGCTCCGCGCCTTCCCTACACAAACCTGGACTTCAGGAAGACGTGCAGTGACGTCAATCCCACTTCCCCAAAAGCACTGACGCCTCCTAAACTCCAAGGAGATGGCCGAGCCAGTCCCTAACTGGGTTAGAGAAATGCCCAGCTGCAGACAGGAGCAAACTGTCCTCGCTGACAGTCACTCCACTGACATGAGCGAGAAAGGCTCACAATCAGGGGCCTCGAGGGAAGCTAGCTGCCCGGGCTGTGAGCACCTACCAGACAGGCAAGGCCCCAGCCCCTTGGGCAGGATGCCCACCTGTGCCCTCTGACTTTTCATGATGCAGAACTGGGGGCAGTACAAAGCAAGGCAGGAAAGGGCTCAAAACCCCAGAAAGGCAAGGCAGAAAATCAAAGTCCCCTGATTCTAGCCCAGAGAGAGAACTTTTACAAAAAGGAGACAGGAAGATCCAAATGTCTGTAGGGAAAAAGACTCACCTGACACCAGGTGTCACCTAACATGGCGCAGGTGTGGGTTTTCTGGGCTCTAGAATGGTGCCTGGTTTGGGGTGCCTCCCACCCCAGTCTCAGCCCCTGTGACCCATGGGAGGCCGAACCTCCTAATTTCTAGAGCACTCTGTCCCCTGGCCAAGGACAGCACATGACCCAACAGAGCCAGAGGCGGTAGAGAGGGGGGCCGAGTTCTGCTGGGATGGTGGGAAAGAGCCCCCTCCTCTGACCAGGGGAGTGGAGCTGCAAGGGCCAAAGCCCGTGGCTGCTTGGGGTCCCACCTGCCACAGCGAGGGCAGAGCCAGGAATGAAGGGACCAGAGGTGGCAGGGACAGACCGCCCGCCTATAACCTCATCCAGGTGCAGGAACTACTGTGCCTGACAAACAGGACTTTTATAGAGATACGAGTAATAAATGCCTTTTTCTTTTTTTTTACTTAAGCCAGTGTGAGAGGGTTTCTGTCACTTGCAAGTGAGAAAAAAAAATCCTAATTAATGCTTCCTTCCCCCAAATAAAACCCAACTATTTTGAAGTTTTCCTTATTAGTCAAGTTTAGCTCATCTCACTCAGCATTTGTTTGAATACCCTACCAATTTAATTTTGCAGTTGTTTACCCCATGAGATTTCTAAGGAGAATGCTCTAAGCCTGCGTCCCTAAAATGCCTTTCATTGTAAGGTACCCATCCTCACCAATCACAAAAGCTGCAGGAGATGAGGGGCCACCCAACCAGAGACCCTGTACCCCCAGGGGCAGGAAGGGGGCACTGAGGGCCCCCACTTCGGCACTGCTCTGCGACCCATGAGCCACTCCAAGGACACGTCCTCTGCCCCTTTGAGTGCTTTGTGACTCTCTCATCTAGGTTGGTCACCCTGAATTCAAGTCAACATCTTGACACACAAAGTCAGTCACCTGGGGCGCCATGCTGACCTTTGGGCAGAGAGACAGTTCCCCAAGGCCAAACCCCTGGAGATGGAGTCAGGACAACAGACGTCTGAGCAGAGGGACTCAGACTTTCCAGGTTCGAGTCCCGGTTCTCCCCTTTCTAGCTCTGTAACTTCTCTGAGTAAAGTCCGTTCACATGTAAACAGGGTACCTAACCCCTCCGATCCAGTGCGTTGCCACAGTGTCCTTACCGGTAGGTGGCCACCTCCAGGCTGAGGCTAGTCTTCACCTGTAGGAGCTCCTGGTAGTCTCGCAGCCGGTCAGCCATGGCCAAGGTGAGGGCTGCCTTCTCATCCTCCATGCCGGCAATCACTCTCTAAAGAGACCAGAGGGTTTGGGGATCAGAGAACTAGAGCTTTGCTGAGTCAAACTTAAGATATCAACAGTTCGGGACACAAAAAGAGATTGAAAAAAAGTCAAGGTTGATTAAAAATGAAGTCATTGCAAGGATGATTTTAAATACTGCATTTTTCCCACCTGGGAGATTTCTTTTACTGCATATGGAAGATGTGGGTGGGACTCAGGCTCCTCTGTTCCTACTCCCTAATCATAATGAGTGCTTGTAAACAGACATCAGTCTTCAGTTCAGACATCAGTCAGCTTACGAGAGTCAATACATCCCACTGGTCAAGTAAGACGCTACTGAAAATAAGCCAAGACTATAAAGCAGGGTTTTTTTAATATTTAAAACAGAAGTCACTCAAATCTGAAATAGAATTTCCTCCATAGTCACAATTTCTCCAATTATAAGCAAGTAAGCAGAGTTCTCTGTTTCACCTAGAAAAGATACTTCAAAATCATCTAGGGAGAAGAGCTATGCTGATGAGACAGGAATGCATTCCAGGCATAAATGTCAAAATTCAGACCTGGATCTAAGTCTTTTTTGACTGTACTTGTAGGATGTAGTTAGTACCCTGGGCTCACACCGCTCCCATCGCCAGCATGAGCAGTTCCGCTCCCGTCTGGTCAATCTCTGTCCCTGCTGCTCCCTGGCTGGGAGACACTGCAGGGCACGGCCAGCCGCCTCATGTATCCCCGTCTCTAGAAAAATCCCCCTCACAGACAAATCACACAGCCTGCATTTGGCGAACTGAACTTAAGATGAAATGATCAAGGGGGAAGGATACAGCTCAAGCGGTAGAGTGAATGCTTAGCAAGCACAAGGTCCTGGGTTCAATCCCTGGTACCTCCTCTAAAAATAAATAAATAAAGCTAATTACCTCTCCCCACCAAAAAAATAATAAATTAGTTTTTTAAAAATGAAATGATCAAGATAATATTACCATCCTCAAAATGTACCATTTAAAATTGACAATATATTTCAACGTTAACAAACACAACAGCTTCATTTGTACCATTTTACAGTTTTGCACTACTCTGTGTCACAGTTTCATGTAATTTTTTATAGTTACACTGGGAAATAATTGAGAAAATATTTAAACATTGAGTAAGTTCATATACTTTAACTTATGGTTTGTAATGGAAAAACAGCATTATTTCTGAACACAATTAACTAAACAGGCTACATTTTTAGACATTTATCTGTATGGAATTTAGAACTTGGAAGACAGTCAGATAAAGGAATCTGTTTTCATTCCTGGTGTAATCCCTCCACCAAAGGCACCTGACAAAATGCTGATGGCCCACAATTAACATGTAATGCCTGTGAAACCAAGGAATGAACTTAACTAAGATCTCACTGTGGATTTACTATCTAAAAAGATGTGTGATCAGCATGTAAATTATTCTGCTCCCAATAACTGTTCTACATATTTAAGCGAATTGTTGTGAAGTTCTTTTTGTGTATATAAAGTATGCTAGGTACAAAGACTGAAACCACTTAGCTTTTAAAGCAAAGGAATAAATTTAAGAATTGCTAGCCAGTATCCCAGTGGGGACGTGTTAACCCCCTCCAAAATTGGTACTGTGAGTAGATAAAGAGGCTCACTAAAGCAGACCATTGGTCGGTCTTGATTTAAGTAACTGAGTTGCCTGAATTTAGTCATGACATTCTCACATTCTACAGTTAAGTAGCATTTTAAAGGGAGTATAAACACAGGTACAAGGTTATAGACATGTTCTATCAACATAAATATATTGACTCCTTCCTACTATACGAAATTTGACCTAAATATTAAAATTTGAAAATTTGTAGTCATGTCTTCTTCACAAAGAAGCTCAGTTATTATTAAAATGCTCAGAAAAAATGATCAGACACATTCAACTCTCCAACCACAAACCACCTGAACAGGTCAAGATCTCCTCGCCATACCAAAAAGGCAGCACGAAGATTCTCTCTCCTCCCAGGGGACAAAGAACAGTTCTGTGCCCCACAATATGGGAAGAGAAAAATCTAACTGTATTTGAGTTAAAGTAAGAACAGTTCGACCACATTTCCATGTGCGTCAACTCTTCCTAAGCTGTCAAAGGAAAATTAGTTGACTTTTGGAAGCAGGAACGTAAGACTGATGGGCTCCCAACAATCTCCACAGAAACTGTAACCGATCCTGCTGCTTGAATATAAAGCTTCAGGCTTGGCCTCCACTTCCCCCAAAGTTTTCAAACCATGGGCCAGGCTGAGGCACTGAGGCGTGAGACCCAGCAGCTAATTCTAACCCCGGCAGAAGCAGTTTCGCCTGACGTTATAAAAGCCGGGGAGAGAGAGGTCACCTTTCTCAGATGCTATTTAGAGAAACTCTGGGCAGCATCACAACCCGTGATGATGAAACGTGGGCCTACACCAGGGAAAGCATGCTGCCGTCAGTGTCCAAGGAATCCACTTTCTCTTGACCGAATATGAGCAGCTCCTTGCTGCGCGAGGCAGCCAGACACAACGGGAAGCGTTTGCGAATGTCACAGTCACGGCACTCAGAATCTCGAACATTAAGAGTTTGAGGGAATTTAAATACTGTGATAACCTTATTTAGACACAAAAACCAAATGTGTAAATAATAACAAGTAATGACTGGATGCTAACTAAGTGTTTATAGCTCTAGCCCAGACAACACCCTCAACTCCAGGCTCACCATTTTATGTTACAATACCAAGTAGGTATTTCAGAGGCATTTCAAACTGAACTCTGATCTCCCCAGCTCAAGCCTGCCCTCTTGCACCAACCCCCTTCCTCCAGTTCTCAGCCCCTAGCTCTGGAATTGACTTGATTTCTCTCTCTCCATATATATATGGATTATATATTTTCCATATATATGGGATTAACAGATACACACTACCATATATAAAATATATAGATAACAACAAGGACCTACTATATAGCACAGGGAACTATATTCAATATCTTGTAATAACATAATGGAAAAGAATCTGAAAAAGAATACATACATATGTATAACTGAATCACTATGTTGTACACCTGAAACTAACACAACACTGTAAATCAGCTACACTTCAACAACAACAAACAAAGGAAGGAAGGGAGGGAGGGAAGGAGGGAGGGAAAGAAAGAGAAATGTGTTCCTATTCAATCAGGTCTTGGGGGCATAGAAGCTACCCAAAAATAGCCAGCCTCCAGGCTAAAAGCTCAGTTTCACAAGCCAAAATCTCCATGTTTACGGGGTAAGGCCAGTATTAATCACAAATGTCTTACAGCTTTGGCTCAAAGCCCCTTCCTGTAGCCTGGGCAACAGGGTGTATCAGTCAGGCTTCAAGTGGTCTAAGCTACATATAGAATGCTGGGGCCTTGGACATCAGCTCAGCAAATTTCCTCTGGCAAATCTGAGGCAAGGGGCCTCACAGAGAGACCTAAGGCACGTACGCCAATGGGAAGGACCGTTTTTCCCAGAGCCCTAGCCAGCATCCTTCCCCCTTGAGCTGCAGAGGGGGAGCCAGGGAAACGCTGGGTACTGGGTGGGGTTTCCTGCCTCCAGATGGAGGTGGGGAGGTCCCATTAAACCATATGGAACACAGGAAAAACTAAATGAAAAACAACACTGAAACCATTCTGACAACAGCCAGCAAGCAGGCAGGGTCTGAAAGCACTTAAGGATTTTAAGATTAATGGGCACGTCTGTGCTCATCCTTAGAAAGAACACTGATCATTATTCTAAGAAAGCAAAGTGAATACTGGTTAAAAGTTCATCTTTAATAAAATGGAAGACAGGGAATATGGCCCAGTGGTTAGCTGTTCAGGCAATGCGTAAGTAGCTAACCCAGGCTTAGCTACTTGCTAAGTGACCCATGAGCCTCAGTTTCATCATCTGTAAAATGGGGCAAATATTAGCACCCACCTCTTAAGATTGGAGTGAGAACTGAGAATGAATACACACGTGACGGACTGGGTACCTGTGGTACCTGGCACATGAAAAGTTCTTATTAAAGGCTAACTCTGTGTAATGAAACTTTTATTCCAGTGTATCAGTTAAATCAGGTTTTATAACAGTTTCAGTCTCCTCAAAGTTAGCGTCTATAGAATTTGAAAACGCCACGGGCTTGGGGTTAAATAACCAATACTTACTCTTTAACAAAATTTTAGCATTTTTATACTTCTTTAAAAAATACTAATGCTTGGTGTTGAGTCTTTTGGAATGCAATCTGAAATATGGTTATTTTAAGCGCAATGGGGAAAGATTCAGGATCTGGATAAGGAAATTATTAGTACAAAGAAATCTCCACAAATTGGAGCTGAAAAAAAAAATCCAAGTCCTTAATGACATTTTCCTTACTCTTTACTTTTAGGAGAGAGAAGCAAATTCCAACAGGAGAGGTATCACTGGACAGGAAGTTGAGGGCAGGGTCCTGGTTTCAGGTCAGGTGTGATACCAGGTAAGGGTCCTGTGGTCCCTGTGCCAAAGGTTTCTAACCACACTGCTCAACTTCCCACCTCTCCTCCAAACAGAGGAAGTCTACTTTTATCTGTTTCGTATCTAGGTAGGGGGGTGAGGATGGGGGTGAGGGGAGAGGGTTCTGCTGCTAAAAATGAACACTGAAACCAGAGCTTCCAGGTCCGAAATGAGCCAAGTGAGCTATGACTGCACATGAATGGTGAGGACTTAGCCCACAAAACACACCTCAAAGAAGCCTTTTCCAAACCTGCTTGCATAGCAGGGACCCTTGGGGTGGCAGCAGGGGTTCCCTACAAAGGGGTTCAGTGGGCAGTGAGCTGGCAGGCAGTTCTTTTTGGTTCAAAGCTCTGTGAAAGCCTACATTAAAGACACTTTTTAACTTTCACTCAACAAGAGCGTGGGGCCCCGTGGAACTAGTGTCCCTGGCTACCATCACTGCAAAGGGAAGCACTCAAGTCCAGAGTAAACTATAGCCATCGGCACACACTTAGGCAGTCCCTGTCCTTGCCCACCTACAAGCCTGGCAGAGCACTTTTGAAAATTATGAGGCA